ATTTAATATTACAATTAAAACATTGAAGAAATATTGTATGATTATTCCTTAAAAATAAGGTTTTAATAATTTTAGTAGTAGTAGTTGCAGCCTGTTATGTACATTCTACTGAACAATAGTAATGTATTTCTGCCACAATGTCTTCAAGTTAAACCAAACTTTTATTTTGACGGGTTGCCGTGAATACCTTTACATTTCTGTTTGTATATTATATGAGGATCGTTTTACTCAAATGAAACGGTCAATAGCTGATGAAATGACTCTCAGAGCAGTTCTGGAGATGTTGTTCATGTATTTATGTCCTCATTAGTGAGACGCAGACGCTAAAATCACTGGAAGCGTCACGCGCGCTTCAGTACCAGTGGTAAAAAAAAACGCATGTCTGCGCCATTCATTGACACAGACACGGAGAATTCATTTAAATATGAATCATTTTGCGGCTTAATATTTACAAATACTAGTGGGAGTGGGAGTGTGCTCACTTGTGTCTGTGCGTGGCGGAACTCAGCTGTGCGTGACACAGAGAGCACGACCATGTAACGTAGAGACAGAAATGACATGCCGTTGTGTAACTAAGATAAAAAAAACATAAGGCTGTTTAGTTTGCTTAGTTTTCTTTCGGAAAGCCAACTTTAAATTTTCTCTGTTGAGATCTGGCACTATAGAGAAAATATAATTAAGTTAAATTAACTTGACTTTCAAGGGGGACGGGGCCCCCCCTAAAATAATGTCAGGGGAAACACTGATGCATTTTATGCTTATTAGAATATCGCACTGTTAGCTTAGCAACATGCTAACATTAAACTCTATTGAAATGAACACGAATTAAGTGCATAAAGTAGTGTTTAGTGGCACATGGTATGTAGAGCATTCCAGATCAGCCACTTGTTAAGATGCTGTCTTAAAAGCCAGCTGCCTGTGTAGTTAGTGAGGCAACATACTAGTTTCTAAACAGAGCTGCAGTCTTTATTTCACCCTTAAAGACTGAGATTTTTTTCATAAGTAGCTAAATAAAATGGTTGTAAAATGAGTTAGAGGAGTGTTTGTGTGCGGCTGTGCACACTCTAAAAAAATGCTGGGTTAAAAAGGGACAAACCCAGCTACTGGGTTGTTTTGACCCAGCGGTTGGGTTGTTTTGAACCCAACCGCTGGGTCAAAACAACCCAATAGTTGGGTTTGTCCCTTTTTAACCCAGCGCTGGGTTATATTTAACTCAGCATTTTTTAGAGTGCATGTGCGACTATGTCATGTGAGAAGAAGCAGACTGACAGAGAGGAAGAGAAGTGAAGAGGAAGACTGTCAGAGGATGAAGAAAAGGAGCAGGCAGCATGCAGAGAGTGAGAATGAGGGGGAGAGAGAGAAACAGGGTGGGGTGGAGAGGGTTTAGGCATTTAGGAGGATTCAGTTTTCACAGCTGAGCTGAACTCATATATTCATCCACCATTCATCCTCAAAATAGCCCTAGCTAATTGGCTCCCAGTGAAAAAGTCACTTCAAAATGAAGCCTTTCCTCTGGACCTTTAAAGAGAGAGAATCAGAGGGAAAGTAGAGCATCTGTGTTTGTTTGTGCATATGCTTGCTGTGTCTGTGCATAAAGATTGTCCTATTTATAGAGCAAAGAACAGTATGAGAGGGTTTCTTATCAGACACATAATTTAAATCTCTTTTTCTTTCTCTCATGGCCTACCCATTTCCTAGAACTGGGTGTACATGATGCCTCTCTGTGTTAAATATGAAATCACATCAAAGTGCTTTTGCCGGCGGACTAAACAATTAAATGATGAAATGAGTACAATGTTTTTGTCTGTCCCTCTCTCCAGGATCTCAAGAGCAAACACAAGTTTAAAGTACATACATACTCCAGTCCAACCTTCTGTGATCACTGTGGGTCTCTGCTGTATGGCCTCATACATCAGGGTATGAAATGTGCCAGTGAGTCTATTTATATTGAGATCCACATGAAGTTCATCTATTCTAGACTGTAGACTGACATGCTGTGGACTTAGAACAATGTAGTTACAGTATATTTACCTGGATTTTCACAGTAGTTTTCATGACTTGCTGTGCAAATATAATATAATAAAGGCTAAATTCTTTGCCAGTTCAGTTTTGATTAAGTAAAAAGCAGTATTGCAAATAAAATAGTGTTGCTTTGTTTTTTTAATTTTTATATATTTATAGTATTATTTTAGTGATAATATAAAATATAACACCAGCAGTACTGTATAATAATATTATTATATCTATCTACTACAATTGAACACTACTAAACTGAAACTATAATACAGTATAACAAAAACAATTTAGAAAATTATATTATATTATATTTCATTGACTATTAAGACCACATTAGCTAAACTTGAAGTTTTTGAGCAATTACTTGGTAATTAATTTACTTGAATTAATGCAAGTTAGGATTTCCAGCGTAATCCTGCCAGCTATGCAAGGATATATAAATGAATGTAAATTTTCATATTTATTCATTTCAGTTTCAGTTACATTAAATATTATTATAATAACTTTCAATAAATTGTCTGTGGAAGTCTCTAGCTTGTATACAATATGGTGAAGAACAACATTCATAGTTTAAATAGAGTTTTTATAACATTTTTACCCTGTTTAAATTTCTATTGTATCAATTCTTAGATCTAAATTAGTATAACATAATCATCAAGATTGCTGTCATTAAATTTACACAATTTTATGTAATTATATGTAACTGTAGAGTAATGCTTTTCAGGTTTTTAATAGGTATCTCATACTGTATATTAGATTAAATTAATTCCCTTTAACTCTGATTTAATCCATGTAATAACAACCATGTCATCTAATATAATTTGCATGACACATTCAGAAAATAATAAAGCAGGCGGTGGCAGCTGACAGCACTTGCTGTTTCAGCATGTTGTCTAGTAACGCACAATGTACTGCAGTGGCTGTTAGCACTGTTAGATTTGTATTAGATTTAAAAGGTTTACAGGATTAGGCAGACTGCTCCTTATAATTGTTGTTTTTGGACTAGAAGGAGACTATATACATTATATGTAATTTTTTTCCTCACACTCTTTCTCTCTCTTTTATTTTTGTGGTATGTGTGTGTTTGTGTGTCTGTGTGAGAGAGGTTGTGACATGAATGTACACAAGCGCTGTGAGAGCAGTGTCCCCAGCCTGTGCGGACAGGACCACACTGAGAAAAGAGGACGGATTCGCCTGACCGTGCGTGGAGAGAAAGAGGACATATATGTCACAGGTGAACATAACTGTAACTTTTACAAACTGATGAACACTATTAGACTTCTCGGTAACACTTAAGAACAGGGACCAATTCTCACTATTAACTAGTTGCTTATTAGCATGCCTATTATTAGCATATTGGCTGTTTATTAGTACTTATAAAGCACATATTCTGCATGATCATATTCTACATCCCTAATCCTACCCAAAATCTAAACTTAAAGGGGTCATATGATGTTGCTAAAAAGAACAGTATTTGGTGTATTTGGTGTAATGAAATGTGTTTATGCGGTTTAAGGTAAAAAAAAAACATTATTTTCCACATACTGTACATTATTGTTTCTCCTCTATGCCCCGCCTTTCTGAAACGCGTCGATTTTTACAAAGCTCATCTGTCTGAAAAGCGAGGTGTGCTCTGATTGGCCAGCTATCCAGTGCGTTGTGATTGGCCGAATACCTCAAGCGTGTGACGGAAATGTTATGCCCCTTACCATACTGAGACAAAAACATTAAAACCCATTATAAACGAGGCATTTGTTGCATCCAGTGGGGACATAATTATGGATTATAATGATATATACTGCCTTTTTACGCGTTGCATTGCATCGCGCCGTGTAAACATAAAACCATATCTGCATTTGTGATCGGAGAATTGAGAACGGCACGGCTGGCGGATTCGACAAAGGAGCGACCGGTGGGCTTGTGGCAACCACATGTGACGACCCCGGGCTGGACTCCACTTCGTCCACGGTGAAAGCTGATCCGGCGATCTACAGCGCGAAGTTGATGCATTTCCTCAGTGACCAGCACGGATCAGCTCCAGGCATGACGAAGCGGATATCGTCCTCTTTTGGAAGGCCAAACAAAGTAGTTTCGCTTTCACAATGAAACACACGGCAGCAACAATACTACAGCGAGAATAAAAGTTACGCCGTCTTTCTTTGCGTGAACATTTGGGCGGCATTATGCAAATCTTCCCACATAGTGATGTAGACATGTGGGGGCGTGTTAGAACGAGCCGTTTTAGGTAGGCGGGGTTGACTCTTAACTTTTATAAAGAATATCTCTTTGGATTTGAGACTTTAGTCTTTACAACTTTACAGATATTCTTTATGCACCAAGAGCTTGTAACACTCCAAAGAGAAAGGAAAAATTGAAATCGCATCATATGACCCTTTAACAACTACCGTAGGCTACTATCTTAGGAGTTTATTGAGGCAAAAGTCGTAGTTAATGGTTTGTTAATAGTGAGACTTGGACCTTAAAATAAAGTGTGACTGTCTTCTCAAATAGCACATTCATGAATGCAGTTAACTTTAGTATCTCTTGATGTTTTTGTGGGAACGTACATTTTTACAAACGTTTTATTTTTGTGCTATGCCACATAAGATGTCTTGACCTTTTTACCTTTTATATTTATTTATAAAAAAAAATTTTATGTTACATTCCTCAAAATTACACAATAAACAATATCATTTAGACTCTTTCCAGAGCATTATGGGAAGAATTAGTAAGAAAAGTTTCCTTTTTAACCCTTTCAGTAAGAAAGTTTTCTGTTTTACACAAATTATACTTTTGACTGCTTTTGTCAAACGCAACCATTTAACCCTGTCTCCCAAGATATTGTAAAAAAATATATATATTTTTTTATTTATATATATATATATATATA